TCCTCACTCACGTTTTCTAAAACAATTCTCGCAAACGTGACTCAAGGCTCGAGCTTACGCCGACGTTGTCCGCAAAATTTGAATTTCTCATGGCTGAATTGTTCACTAAGCTAAAACAAGTGTCACACAATCGTTATCCCGCTGCTGCAAGAGTGCAATTGTGACACAAAGCACACTTGATCATAGAGTTCCTATCATTAAGCCACCGATAAGGAAAACGCACCTTGTTGGTTTAGGAATCGACTTTCAATTATTTTAAGTCTTTCTTAATCATCCTATCATTGGAATCGCTCTCATTCACGTGTTGTCTTGATTTATTCATATATCCCTCAGTTACTTGTATCACATATATTGTTGATAGATGATTACTAACTAGAGACAGTGTAATTGTAATTTACGATTTTCTTACTTACAATTATGATCGATATTGATAATTTACAATTTTCTTGCTTACAACTATGATCGATATTGATACATACTCATTTTCTTCGAATGCTAAGTTCAAATACTCGTAATTCAAGTCCTTAAAAACATTAGGCTAAAAAAGTTTTAAACTTTAATATGTTCACACTTTCAAAATTTTGATTTTTAATAAAAAAAATATATATAAAAAAAAAAAAAAAGAGGAGAAAACCGTGTGGATCGTCGATGAAAGGGAACTAATTACCAGTTTCTGTTCCATTGTGCTGAGGGTGAAGCTAATTTTCTAATAGCCGCCGCCCGCCCGCCATCAAATCGACAGCCGCCGGTTCCGCCTCCGCCATGGCCGCGCCCTTCGATTCCAATTCTCGGTCAGTCCTCGAAACATTCTTCTGTGTTCGATTCATTTTAATTCCCATTAGCGATGATTTTCTGAATCTCCCATCGGATTCTTTTGTGCTGAAAAGGGAGGCTGTTCCGAAGAGGCGATCAGCTCCAATCAAGTTCTTGGTTCCTCTGATTTATGCCCCTGTTCTTCCTCTCAGTAAGTTTAATCCTCTGGGGTTTTCATTTTTTCCAAATTTTGTAATGATTTTCCATCTGGGTTTTGTTCGAACGTGATTCTATTTTTTATTTTCAGTCAGAATTGCGCTGCGGAAGAACCCTGTTATGAGGGATCGGCTGTTCACGGCGGTTTTGGCTGGTGCTTTTGCCCATGGCTTTTACTTGGTGTATCCTTTTAAACCCTTATATCTGCATTAATCATTGATCATATCATATTGAATGCCAGTTCTTGAATCTTGGGATTTTCATGCTTCTCTGTTCATTTGTTGATGATCTGCATCCGCTGTTTCTTAAAAGTGTGTCTTCTTGTTTGAGAATTGTTATGGTATTTTAGTAGAGGTGTAGTCGGGTCAAACTGTTGAGAATTGTTGGGAGAAGAGTCCCCACATCGGATTGATCATGGGTTTATAAGTAACGAATATATCTTCATTGGTACGAGGCTTTTCCGGGAAACCAAAAGTAAAGCCATGAGAGCTTATGCTCAAAGTGGACAATATCATACCATTGTGGAGGGTCGTGGTTTCGAACATGGTATCATAGTTATGCCCTTGGCTTAGCCATGTCAATAGAGTCCGCAAGTGTTGAATAAAATAGTTGTGAGCCTCGAAGGTGTAATCCAAAGTGACTCAAGCGTTGAACAAAGGGGTGTACTTTGTTAGAGGGGTTCAGAGAAGGAGTCGAATCTCGATTAAGGGGAGAGGCTGTTTGTGGACTCCATAGGTCTCAGGAGATGTACTTTGTTTGAGAGGAGGATTGTTGGGAGAGGAGTCCTGGCCTTTTGGGAAAACCTAAAGTAAAACTATGAGAGCTTATGCTCAAAGTGGACAATATCATACTATTGTGGAGATTCGTGGTTCCTAACACAAATCGTTGTCTCGTAAGTATAGTAGAGGTGTGTACAATTTGGCTCGGACACTCGTGGATCTATAAAGAGAGGTTAGTGTTTAATTATGGAGTTTTTCTTTGTGAATTCATGAGTGAAATTTGTTGGGTTTCTGAATGTTATTGATCTAGTGTACAAATGAGCTTTGATGGCTCTTGGGCTTTGATGGCTCCTGAGGTGTGTTCATAGGTCTCAAGAGAAGCTAAAGGCTTTGATGGCTCCTGAGGTGTGTTCATCGGTCTCAAGAGAAGCTAGTGATTTCAATGGTGAGATCTCACCTCAGTTGGAGAGGGAAACGAAACATTTTAATATGGGTGTTGAAACCTCTCCCTAGCAGATGCGTTTTAAAAATCTTGAGGGAAACTCTGAGAGAGAAAGTCCAAAGAGGACAATATCTGATAGCGGTGGGCTTGGGTTGTCACAAATGGTATCAGAGACAGTCACTGGGCGTTGTACCAGTAAGGTTGTTGAGCCCCAAAGAGGGGTGGATTGTGAGATCCCACGTCGATTGGAGAGGGGAACGAAACATTTGTTAAGGGTGTGGAACCTCTCCCTAGCAGACGCATTTTAAAAATCTTAAGGGTAAGCGCGAAAGGGAAAGCCCAAAGAGAACAATATCTGCTAGCGGTGGGCTTGAACTGTTACATCGGTCAGGGTAACATCCTGAATGCAAGTTAAAGAACGAGCTGCGGTTTTACTATTAAGGTTATGCAATCTGGTTTTACTATTAAGGTTATGCAATCTGAATTAAGCAGATGAATGAGTTATAGAACAACGCACCAACCATGGGAGGTTTGAGAGTAGCTCAATTAGCTGAAGGTATGAGAATATGAAACTCACTTTTTCCTATTCCAAAAGTTAAAAGGGTTTGTATAAGTGGGTTGGCTCAGGTCGGGTTTCATGCAAAATCGACCCGTCCCCACCTAGTTCGTTTTCACAGAAAAGAGACCTGATTGTCGTTAGAGAGATCAAGATGAAAATAAGGTTGATGCCGATTTTAGCTTTCCTAATGTCGTAGTGACACCATGGAGACTAAGAGTTGACAACATAGGAGCTACGTGTCACAATCGCACTTTTGCGGTAGCGGGACAACGATTGTGCAACACTTGTTCTAATCCAGTGAACAAGTCAACCGTGTGAAATTTGGACTTCACGGACAATATTAGCGCATGCTCGAATTTGAGGTCATGTTTGAGAGAAATATTTTGAAAAACGTGAGCGAGATCATACGTTGTACACAATGTTATAAACTAAAAGTGAGTAGGGAACAATGACGACTTTGATAGCATACAACCTGTAAGAAATTGACAATTAGTCACATCCCTTATAGTACATTTTGGGTCATTTTAACCTTGTCATGTGTAAACATAATTTTGGTAACCGGTCATACATCCTCATATAGTAAAGGCCTATCAACATGGAAGCAAGGAAAAGGGGTTTGGAACAAGCATGCAGCCATGGACAACACGTCTTGTACAAACATGACCAGGACAACTGTCGTGCAACCTTAGGCAACACATCTTGGACAAGTATGATCATGATACTATGTAGTCAACAGTTATTGTGAGTACTAAGTGAGACAAGGAAAAACTCGAGAGGAAGAAGAACGGTTGAATTTGAGAAAGAAAGGTCGGTTTTGTTTGATCAAAACTGAGAGCCGTACTGACCAAGGTCCAGTCCGATTTTCGGTTCGGTTCCTTTCACCATTGTATTGTTGAGTATAAACATCATTTTTGTTTGTTTTATTTCATAATTGTGTTGTGTTCCTTGATGGGTATATTCAGAAGTGATATCTATGATGCTGAGAGCAAGTGAACTCAATTTCCCACCTCCACATGATCATGATGATCTTGATGCTGTGAGTTTTTTTTTTTTCTTATCCAATAATTCTCATCTTTTTTTTAATGCCTTCACTTTTCTTCTTATTATTATTATTACTAGAACAATGAATTTAATTTTTTGAGTATAATTTTAGGAAGTATTCGTTATTTAATAAGAGTTAATACTATGGATATGTTCATCAGATTCCATTTTTAATAATTACATGTTATTATAAAGATGAAGAAAGAATGTGAGAGATTATAAGATTGGGGTACCCGTTGAATCACCGCCACCGGAATCTCACATTCTTCTTCCCCTTCCTCTTAATCTATTTTCCGGTGTCATTCTTAGTGTTCGAGAAATCGGAAGCCAGCCGAGATGCGACGCCCGAATGGTACATTCCGTCCTGAAAACAATCGGTTTTCGACGTCATAATTCGGAGTTGCCTCGCTTTCTCTGCCGTTAAGCCACCGGGAGAGAATCGGCTCCCCGCTGCCTTCTCTGCCGAATTCGAATTCGAATCCGAATTAGGATTTGGCTGCGCACCCTCGGTGATTTTGTTCGGCGGGCAAGGTTTCCACCAGGGCCTGTAATGGCGCTGGGGATCTGATTTCCGGTGACCGGTGCCGGCGCTGGCAGAGGGTCGGATTCCGATGGGGCGGAAGACGAGTAGATTGGTGGTCATTTTTTTGGGGAGCGGAAGGAAGGTGAAAATGAAGGGATTAATTGGTTGGCTTTTTAACCTTGTAATTATACCCAAATAAAGATATCATAATAATAGTTAATTTCTATTCCACAAAAATACCTATTTCAACATTTTTCCATATATATATATATATATATATATCTAACAACATTTTTAGTTCGTGGATTTTCGAGTTGTTTCTAAATTTGGTCGTTATGTCTATTCTTCTATTCTTTTTAATGTCTATTCTTCTGTTCTTTTTAGGGGTTTGACGGGTGTCTTCTTATCCTTTTTTTAAAAGGTTCTTGTGTGAAGCTAACATGACTAGCTTAGCCAAAAAAAGATGACGGGATTGATGGTTAGAGGCTGTAGCGGGACTACCATAGGAAAGTCTGTCCCCTCCTGCTAACATAAAAAGAGATTCTCGTAACAATAGGCTCTTCCCGACCAAGTTGAATATATATCGAATATGACTATTGACTTGCTACATTAATAAAAATATTTCTAAATAATACAAAACAAGTTAAAGAAATGTCTTAGTTTTGAATGAGAAAAAATACGGACCAACTTTACCGGATCAAACAAAACCAACTATTCTTGAAACCAGTTCTAATTGATTGTTTTTATTTGGGTTTATTTGGTCTAATTTTATGGTGCCCAATCTACCTCAACCTAAATATAAAACGAAAAGTGAATGAAACCGGTCTCGAGCCTATTTAATCTTATTCCCATGCCAATGAATTATCTTTTTTGCACCAACTCGACCCGAAAATCAATTCCTTCATGCAAATTGAAAATGACATAGGGTACGTTAGATATGCCGATGACATGATTTTTGTTACTAACTAGAGAGGAAACAGATTGCGTAACAAAACAGCTCCTAAAGAAAACCCTAAAAAACTTACGACAAGCATCTATCACTGTTTAGTTTATAACCCGACCTAATAAAAAAAAGTAAAGATATAAATGCATAATACGAAAAGAATTATATTATTATTATTAATTCGAGCATGGATATTACAATTTAAAATACAAGAATTTGCATTAATTTCACTCACAATTTGGTAGCAATCACAATCTCTCCAAACCTTTACCCATCATACCCTGCATCAACAACCACATAAATATTACAACAATGACAAACAACCAATTTTTTAAATAACTTTTTAAATTATTTTTAAAAAATACTTAAATTTATTAAGTAAATAAAAGGGGTTTTTCAAAATTATTTTTGAGACAATGTAATTATAAGTCAACTCAAGTAAAAAAATTATCAAACATTTTAAAAAAAGAAATTGCAATTTTTATCTATTAAAAAGCAGAACAGAGTGGAGAAAATTACTGGAGGAATTCAACGGTGACGAAATTGACAGTCGCGGAGGTATTAACAATGGAATTATACGCCGTCGTCGACAGAATCATCGTAGTTCCGGTCGCCGTCGGAACTGAAACAATTGACGGAGCGTAATCGACGATCGTAATCTGAATAGTCTGATCAGGCACACAGGCTTCCGGGTCTGACGCACTGAAACACCTAACAAAATACTGTCTCCCACACGCTGCTCCGTTCTCCCAAACTCCGTCTCCGGCCGCCGCGAAGAGGTTGCTGGTCGGGAACTGAGTCAAATCCCCACCAAAACACTCCGTCGCTGCAACAAACGGAAACAAACAAACAAAAGTCAGAAATCCCGAAATTTCAAAAAACCGGAACTTGGTGTTGGAAATCGAAGCGGGGGTTCTTACGGGAATAGGGCGGGGGGTATCTGGAAGCGGTGCCGAGATCGGCATGGGAGAAATGGAGAAGGTGGGAGAGGAGGAGGAAGAGGAAGAAGCAGAGGCGCCGCCATTGGAGGGGATTGTTTCGAGGTCTTGATATGAACATGTTTTCCAGGAGAATAAGGGATTGAAGGATTGGCTTTCAGTGGAATCCAATTTTAAAAAATTGGGGATTTGAAAGTCAAACAGGTTTTCGAGATCTGGAATTGGGTTTTGTTGTTGGTGTGATTGAATCATCATTTTTTTTTTTTTTTCTTTTTGGAAAATAAATGGAAGGTTCATTGACATAGCAAGTGGGGACTTTTTTTTTTTTTTTTTTTTTTTTTTAAAAAAAACATGTTCTATTTTTATATCATATTAAAAAAAATGTTTAATGGATTCAACAATAATAAGTGTTTTATCATATTCAATATTTTTAAAATTAATTGAAGTTTCAAATCTATAATTTAATTTTCTTACTTTCAATTTAAATTTAATTTTTTTTTAAAAAAAATTGACAATTCATTAATTTATTACACAAAAAATTAAAACTTTAGGGATATATATTAAGATTCTACTCAACTCATTTTATGAAGCATTGGAACAAGAAATAACAGAACAATCCAAGTAACACAATATGATGAGAGTAACTTATAATCTGTGAAAAGAATTTTTGTACAATCTCTGAAAAGCGTACTCTTTCTTACAGATCAAACCAAATCCCACAATTCCCATCTTCACTTGTGCCCATCTCCTCTCCTGCTGGGTCCTGACGCCAACGTGAACACTCGCTGATTCGACATGTCGAAACCGCCACCGCCGCCCTCGTTACCACCACCACCACCGTCCTTTGGTTTCAATTTGAATTCATGGGCATCGGAGTTGGCCTGGAGGGCTCTCCTGTGGAGTAGTGAAGTAGAGGTGGCGGGAAGAAGCAAGGGTAAGAGGAGGAGGGAGAGCAGGCAGAGATGATGATGCCTCATAATGTTGGTGGTGGTGGTGGTGGTGTGGTGGTTGGGTTTGTGTTGTGAATGTTTTTAAGTGTATTGTTAATGAAAAAAGGTCAAAAGATTCTGTAAGAACAAAAAGAATGGAGCAGAAAAGATAGTATCCAGACATGGCATCTCAAATTGAGCTATAGGGGAGGAGGGGGAAAAAGGTGGGGTTGGTGTTCAAATGCCGCTCTATGTTCAACCACTGGACGGTGAAGAGCCTTCTAACCTNTTTTTTTTTTTTTTTTTTTTTTTTTGTAAATATTCTAAAAAATATATTGAAAAATAAGAATTTCTTGTTTAAACAAAGGCCTAATACAATTATTAAAAAGAAAAATTGAATAGTTTGGTAATGAAATGTACATTTATTGCATAGAGATAAGTACTTAGGCAACCAAAAAGTCAAAGGCAAAATAAATTCAATCATCTTCATGCAGTTGGATGGGAGGCCGCAATCCATACCATAATTTATTATTTTGCTTTTTGACCTACAATCATTCACCTATCAATCTCTTTGTTCGGAGTACTTGACGGTTTGGAGATTCAATCTCTAATATCTTAACTAGAAGTAAGTTCAACTAGATCTCTTATTTCGAAAGCAAGTGGATTTGGACGTTTAACCCTGTTCTCCTAGTTGGGAGTAAAGGAGGGTTTGGAGATTCAACCATTGATCTCTTAATTGAGCCTTTGGATAATGAGTAAGTGAAGTTTAGGATCTCTTAATTGAGCCTTTGGATAATGAGTAAGTGAAGTTTAGGAATTCAGCCTTTGATCAGTAAGTGAGCCTACAAAGATTAGATCTGACCTCTAATCTCCTAATCGAGAGTAAGTAAAGGCATGGAGATTCAACTATTGCTCTCTTAGTCGAGAGTAAGTGAGAGTATGAAAAACCTAACCCGATCTCTTAATCGACCCATTCAATCACCGATCTAAGAGTACGGGTTTGAAGATTCAACTTCTAATTTCCGGGTGAGAAGTAAATTTCTTAATTGTATTTAAAGATTAAACTACTTTAGTGTATTTATGTTCATAGCATTTGCTTTTTGACCCAATGATTTACCAATCAAAACGTTTTGTCCTTAAAAAGGGCAATTGACGTAAGACGCCTAATAATGACAAAATGCATGTTCAAAATTGACCAAACCCACATGCAATTAACATATAATAATTAATAGCCAAGTCTTCACAAAAATATCATCCCTATTTATCTTTAGTGTAGAATTGACCAGGTCAAAGGGTGTCATTCTCAAGGCCTGTGACACTACTAGCAAAACAAAGTTGAATAAATACTATTTCTAATGAAGAAAACTTGAAAGACTTGTATCCCGGGAATTAGATGATCATCGACATCGACATCGACATCGACATCTCTATAGGCTCAGCATCGACACAAGGGGTCGAATATTGTAAAACAAAAATTATCCGTTACATTCACATTAACATTTTATCAATATTTTCATACCCAAGAAAAGAGAACAAACAAAAAAAACGAAAGAAAAAGAAAAAGATGCTGCCATTTTTCAACCGAAGACTTGGAAAGTAGAAGAATGAGGACAAGAAAGTACAAATGCCCTTCAGGAAAAAATGTATAAGACAGCTCAGACAGCTCAAGAGGGTCCTCTAAAGTAATTACACTTTTCAAACAGGGGAATAGGAAGACGCGTTTTGAGTGTAAGGGCTTAGAGAAACTTACATGGAGGGGAAGATTCTTTTGAATTGCTATCACAGCCAACAGCGCGTCCTTTGATTCCCAAACAGGGCTGGGTGCTCAAATGGGGTCGAGTAGAATGGTAACTTCGATCTACTACTTCCAGAGCTTTCGCAGCGACATGTTCTTATCTGTATCCTTCTTCATTACCTTCGCAACGGCCATCTCGAAATCTTCTTGTGTCACATGAACCCTTCTTTCCCTTAGAGCAAACATTCCAGCTTCTGTGCAAACAGCCTGCACGAGAGTTCAATATTTGAAGAACACTTGAAGCAGAAAACAGGAGTCTTGCTTAAAAATCTAACGAACCTTAAGTTCGGCACCAGATGCGCCGTTCATCTTCTCAGCAATCTTCTTCAAATCAATCCCCCGCATTAAATTCATTTTTCTTGAGTGTATTTTCAAGATATCGAAACGTGACTGCAATACAGAAATATAATACCGAAATGTAATCATACTAAAATAGACTTCATACAAACAATTTGTATTCGAATATATCCGATAAGATACAAAACTAAAAGTTATTAAAGAGAAACACAAGAAAAACGTTCAGGAAGTGAAGAGGAAACTGTTCACCAATGATGTTTAACACTGTTATGTACCTCCTCATTAGGATTTGGGAACTCAATTTTTCTATCTATTCGTCCAGGTCTCAAAAGAGCTTGATCGAGAATATCAATTCGATTTGTGGCCATCAAAACCTGTTGATACACTGGTAGTCAGTACACCAAAACAACAATCCTAACATATTTCTAATTCTTCTTATAAAGAAAATCCACAAATCCAGCTACACTAACCTTGATCTTGTTTGATGCTTCAAATCCATCCAGCTGGTTAAGAAGTTCTAGCATTGTTCTCTGCACCTCACTATCACTATTACCACTCCCAGATTCCATACGAGCCGACCCGATACTGTCAATTTCATCCATGAAAATGATAGATGGAGCATGTTCCCTGCAGTAAGGTATTAAAAAATGTGTTTCATAAGTTGACAGTAAAAAAATACATCTGATTCTGAGGAAGAGAAGCATGAAGTAATAACATCGGAGAAGTCAAGAAAATTACATTCATTCCATTCATTTTTTTTAGTGAATATAAGGATCCGCCATTGACAGCATGGATAACAATCAAATTATAACTTATATTTATTTATTACTTGGTTCAGGGTTATTTCATCAAGCAATTTAAGCATAGAGCATAAAGAATAACAATAATGAGGAAAACTTAAATCAAAATCCAAGACGTTCAATTGTTGAAAATAAATACTAAAATAAACTCGAAACAGACCTGGCCATCACAAAAAGTTCTCTAACCATTCTAGAACCCTCTCCAATGTACTTCTGTACCAACTCAGAACCAGAAACCCTGATGAAAGTACAATCAGTGTGATGTGCAACTGCTCGAGCCAAAAGAGTTTTCCCAGTGCCAGGAGGGCCATATAGCAAGACACCCTACGCATGATTTAAGAAAGAAAATATGAGTGAGATTAGAGGGAAAACAAATCAGCAATTAGGAGTTCATGCTGCACACTAGACTTTACCTTTGGTTGAGCTATTCCAAGACTTTCAAATAATTCTGGATGCTTGATTGGAAGCTCAATGACCTGAATTCATTAGGAAAATATGACACAACGATTACAAGTTTCTAACACAAGTTCACGATAGAATTTATCAACATCCTACAAGCAATGAAGGTAAATCAGGGAACACAAACTAATGAAAGATACCTCTTTTATCTCCTTAATTTGCTGATCAAGACCACCAATCATGTCATAAGTAGAATCAGGGACCTTTTCAACTTTCATAAGATTCACCAATGGATCGACTTTGCTTGGCAGAACTAAATGAAGAACATAGCTGTCATTTCGAAGAGCAACCCTAGTTAATGGGGTGATTTTTGTGATATCAATGCTTTTATCAATATCAACAACATATTTCCCTTCTGGATGCACCTGTAAAGAAAACGGGAGAAGTCAAAAAAGAAATGTAGCAGGCACCTGTGACCTATAGCTTCACATTATGAATCCTAGCTCAAAACCTACAGTACCCGTGGAGTCATAATTACTAGAAACAGAATACACTCTGCAAGCTTAATGTGACGCACAATCCTCAGAACGGGGGAAAACGCCATACCGTGGTTATTGACAAAAATTAGAAGCCACATGTGAAACCATATTGCCCCGTCCCAAAGAATGCGAATTTGGAGAACTAAAACTAAACTTCTGTTCAAAACAACCTAAATTCTTTATGCAAAACAAACATGGTTTATACAAGTGAGATCATTTTGCACAAAGTTGATATAAACATTATAAACAGAAGTTGCCAACCACATATTTCTTTTACAATAAACAATATTAATTCTACCAATCACTTTTGTGGAAAACCCTAGCACTAAAACCCCTTCAGAATAATCCTTCTTACAATAAAAATCACCACCTGTACGTCCATTATTAACTAATATGGATAGCTTGGTACAGATAACACACACCGAAATGTGGATGTAACTAGTGGTTACGTCTTCAGGGAAAACATAAGTTACTTTTCGAATAATCACTAACCTTCACTAAAACCTTATTCTTTCCCATGACTTTGACCACTTCGCCAACGTACGATCCAGGTTCCTGAAGCAGCTGAAGTTCTTCACGAAGCAACCTCACTACACAATTTCAATCCACACAACTAGTTCTATCAAATGTGAGTCAAGGGCTAAAGCATCAACAAATATAATCCCAAACCATTCCCGATCGTAACAAAGAATGCAAGAAATGATTTGCCGAACCGTACTGATATCTAACAAAAACTCAAGTAGTCTGGTAGATTCAGCTAACTATTCCACATTTCTACGTCGCATAACAAAGAAAAGAATTGTCCATGTCCTGCTTTTAAAGCACCAAGAACCCTAGTTTTGAATCGTAGCCAGTTTCTTAGTTCAAGTTTCATTGAAACATTGAAAACAATTGAAGAAAAACATTCCTGGCTTCAAGAAAAGGAAACTTCACTAAACGAAAATAAAAACAAAAATTCAAATCATCGTTGATCTGACAAGGTTAAACCCGATCAAGACAACTCTCCATCAAAAATTTATAAAACTTCCAGCGATTACAATTCCAAACACTAGACTTGGACAAAAGAGTTACTGTTGAGTAATCACTGTTACCTCTAGAGTTGAGCTCATTTCGCTGAGCTTCGAGACGATTGAGATTGTGAGTTTTCAGGCGGAGTTGAAGCTGGAGGTCCTGAATGTGTTGAAGATAATAGTGCCTAAGACCTTCGCCTTGCTTCGTCGCCGGCTTGGCGGAGCACGTCTCTTCAAGTGTGGCCTCCGGTAGCGTGGTGTCGAACTCCATCGTCGCCATTGAAATACTATAGGTGCTTCCTGAACTACTTTGTTTCTCTTTCAGTGATTCGAATCGGAGAAATTGTAGTGAGACAGAGAGGTACTTATATACAAACAGAACTGGGCCAACATTTTTCATTTGTTCTCGTTGAAGCCCATATACACAAGGCCTCGGCCCATGTAGTCTTGGGCCAGTATATCCAAATTTTATTTGTAATGTCAATCCTTTTATTATTATTATTATTTTGGAATATTGTTAATAAATTGAGCCAATGGTTGAATGAGAAACTTTGGTCAATCACATATTCTCACATCATCTATCAAATAATGACAGAATTATAAATTGTTAAATTTGGAACCAATCACAAATTGACAAGTGTCTCAAATTATCGTAAATTTTTATAATTTCACACCTTTTTTATGGTCGTTTAATTGAGTAAATCTAGTCGGCCGAATTGGGTCAAAAATCAAACGAGCTCTAGATAAATTTGGCTCAAAACCTAAATCCATAGGGTTTGAAGCCGTGAAACCCAAATTCAAATAATTAGGCTTAAATCCGAAAGTCTAAGCTGATCAGGGTTAGTCAAAAGTTATCAAAGTCCAAGTCTACCGACCCATGGAAAGCTCTCAAAACAGATAATGAGGGTGTGGAAATCTCTCTCTGGTAGACGCATTTTATAATCGTGAGACTGACGACAATACATAACAGGTCAAAACATATAATATCTACTAGCGGTAGGGTTGGATTGTTACAAATGGTATCATAGCTAGACACCGAACAGTATGTCAGCGAGGACGTTGGGCTCCCGGGGGGTGGATTGTGGAGATCCCACATCGATCGAAAAAGGGAGCGAAACATTCTTTATAAGAGTGTGAAAATCTCTCCATAATAGACACGTTTTATGAAGTTGATGGCAATACATAATGGACCAAAGCAAACAATATCCGTTAGTAGTGGGCTTTAGCTGTTACAAAGGTTGATCCAACATACAAGATCAACAAAAGTTGAACAAACCAGAGGCTGCATCCAGTGTAGAAGATTAACCGACCTAGTTAACTCAAGAATAAATGCTCGGGCCCTTAAGTCAAGTGTACATCGTCGTAAACAAGTGCATTTTTTTTTCATGATTTAATTAAAAAGTCGTTCGGTTTAAATTTTTATAAAAACCTCATCGTAAAAATAAAAAATGAAAAGCATGAATCCAACTCATTGATTTAATTTTCAAATTAAAAGCATTAATCCATGACCTTATACTCTTATTGGCTTTTTATTTAATGTTAAAAAAAAACAAACAAATTCCTCATATTGACTTTTAAAATTAAATTAAACGTTGACTCTTCAATTAATGTCGGGTTGAAAAATAAAAGTCAACCTCTCGTTCTTCCTCTCCCTCACCTTCAATGTTATAAATACTCGCTCAATGCTGCCAATATTTCCATCCTTTTCGATCTTTCTTTTCGCTACTAAAAATAATGTCTATCGTTTTCAAGATTGCGGTTCGTTGGAACG